AGGAGAGAATGTTTAAAGTCCTTGGGGCCTCCCCGGGAGTCTAAGGGTTAAGTGTTAGCGCTATCATCACTATAGTCTGAGTTCAATCCCCAGCCAGGGAGATAACCAACATATGGAGCAGCAGACCTCTCCTGTGTTGCCTGCTGCTCCCCCCAGCAGTGTATTTATTTCAGTAAACCCACTCTGTCTCTGGTGACTCTTCTCACCACTAGCCCCCACCTCCCACACTCTGGTTCTTTTACAAAAAAATAAATAAAACTGAAGAAAAAAAAAAGTCCTTAAAGTAGGAATATGCTTGGCAAATTGGAAAAACAGCCAAGGAGTCAGTTCAGAGAGCAGAATGAATGAGGAGAAATGAAGAGGGGATCAGAGGGCAGGTGCAAGTCAGGTTGAAGAATTGTGGGCCATGATATGTAGTTTAATTCTGAATGAGGTGGAAAGGATTGGAAGGTTTTGAATAGCTGATTAACAAGTTCTAAAAAATATCATGGACAGCTCCATGGAGACTAGATGGTGGTGGTGGTGGTGGTGGTGTGTGTGTGTGTGTGTGTGTGTGTGTGTGTGTGTGGCAACTGGGTCACCAGTTAGGAGGCTAGTGCTAGTCATGGCAGAGGTGGCTGAAAGGTACTGGAGAGGTTGAGAACTTGTCAAATTCTGGTTCTATGTTGAAGGTAGTGTCAAGGGCATTTGCTGACGAACTGTGCATGAGATGTGAGAAAAATAAAAGAATCAAGGATGATTTTCACATGACTGGGAAAATGCAATTGCCGTTAACTAAGCTCTTTAAGAATATGGTGGGAAGAGGAGGAGGTGTATAGGAAGAAAGGTTTGTTTTAGGTATATTAAGGTTAAAGGGGCTATTAAAAATCCAAAGGAAGGTTTTAAGTTGTCAGTTGATGATTCGAGTGCAGGATGAGAGAGAGATATGTAGCTGGGCTAGAACATCACTGTTCTTCAACAAACTCTAGACAACACCCTCCAAAACACCCTTTCCCACTTTCGGTCTGCATCTCCCCGACACCAAAGTCCAGGTCACCCCCCACTTCCTGCATCTTTCCCATTGTGTAGCTCCAGGTATATAACTTCTACCTACATACAGAATTTTCAAGAAAATTTTCAGAGGGTTTTGGCCATGCTGGTGGTGTCTGATGGGCAGGGAATGGGGGATAAGAAAGGGTAGAAGAGGGGCGTGTCTGTAGCCTTCATGCTCAATGTCTATCAGAGCACACTATGTATTGATACTGTAGATCAGAACTACACAATGTTCCCTGGCTGCTGTCAGAGGGAGGCTGAACTTCTACTAGAATGTAAAGTTACTTATTCCTTTAGCACCTTGAAGATTGCATTCATAGTAGCAACAAAAATACTATTTTCTCTTTCCTTGTCTGATCTAAGACATGGCTAGAAGCACTGACTCACACTAAGGAATCACAGACTGGTGTTTTATTTTAAAACTAACAAGAAAACCTCAGCAGTTACCAAAGAACCTTCTCTTTGAAAACATTAAAATTGGGTGAGGGAAGGTTAGTAGGAAGAAGGAGCCTTCTAGTTTAAGATGTGGAAAGCTCAATGAAACTATACTAAAAAAAAAAAAGAAAACATGATTAAAAACACGACTTTCCTTACCCAGGGTATCAAAGAGAGGAGACCAGGGCACTTTCTTAAACTCTTCCTGCTGTGACGTCTCCCTTAGAAGCTCTCATTCTCCATGCAAAAGGCAAAAACAGACACTTCTAATCTGGATTAAATACAAGATGCATGAGAGTTAGTTTCTGAAGAAATTTTTAAGAAATAAGAGGTATCACTTTTCATTATGGTGAGAAGGCTGGAGTGACAAAAATTATGTTCATATGACCAGATTAGAGAGAAGATAGTAGATACATTTGACTGGTCCTCAGTAGCAATTACAAAAGAGTATTTGAACCTCGGGGCCTAATTACTAATGAATGCCCAATATGACGAGGCATTGTGCTGCTCTGAATCCAAAGATGACATTGTTCCCCACTCATGGAGCCCCTTGTCTGGATGGATGGTCAGGGGAGACTGGATCTGAGAGATCTGGGAGGAAGACATCGTTGATGCAGAGATTAGGGAAGGTTGTGGGTTTCTGGCGAAGTAGCAGCAGCAGCATGAGGTTCCTGGGCTGAGAAAGCCTGGGGGTGAGGGAACTGCAGGGAGACCCACCACGGCAGCAGGCAGGCAGGCAGCTGAGTCAAAGTCGCACATGCAAGCAGAGGCCCGGTGACAAAGGGACTGTGAGGTCACCTGCCAGGGAGCTGTGAGTGGGGAAGGATAACAGGCTTGCAGTTTGGGGAAAGATTATTCTAGTGGCAATGATCTGAAGAAAAATAGACCGTGTGCCGACATCAAAGTTGTGAAAACTGTTGATTCTGTTGATCGGATCTGTTGTCAAAACCGAATACTTTTTCTGTGTTGTATTTGACTATGCACAGGTTTGCACCACCGTTGAGGGTTCTGCTCAAGTACTCGTTAACACTCAGTTTCATTTTTTACTTCTACATCTTGTACAAGAACAAATATAATCAGCCATTGTAGTCAATCACTGCATTATAACTTTACAATGGTCACGTTCGATCCAGAGGGCTTCTTTTCTGTGGGTTCTCCTGTTCCTCTCCCCAAGTGCAAGTCCCAGTCAGAATTTCACCAATGCAGTGGCTGCCAACACCAGTTCATGGAAAACTTTTCACCAGTTGGGGGTGAAATGTAGAAGCAAACGACAGTGTAACAAATCTTCCATTAAGAAAAGAAAAAAATTGCTCTAAGAAATATATTAAAAAAACCTGTTCTATGTAAAGGCCTGTCCTTTTTTCTAAATTATGTCCTACCACCTTTTGGGTGTTAAGATTCCCTTTATGAGAATTTTTTTGCCCCTCCATGGCAAAATAGTTGGCAAATCCACATCTAGATACTGATTTTGTGGGATGTGAAATCGTCTGAGAAGCCCAGACCCCTGCTTAGAGTGCACTGTACCCCACCTTGCTCATCATGCAGAGCCACTGCCTGAGCTCAGAGTGCAGTTGAGGGCTGGGGTGCACCTGGGTTAACCAAGGTGGGCACTGACCTGCCAAAACGTCAACAGTCAGGAAATGTTGGCCCAGTATGTAATTTAATCACATATTTCTTCCTAATTACATCTTCGGAGCTTAGCATCTTAATGAGAATATTAAACTTCTTTTCATGGCCTCTGAGTCACTCACATTTAAATATCATTAAATAAGTACTGAAATAAGATCCTAAAAAAGGCTTAACCTTCCAGATCTCCTGGTTCACTGCAAAGGTGCTGGAAGTCTATCGTCCATTACCTCCAAAAAAAAAAAAAAAAAAAAACTGGAATAGTTTGGGATCCTGGCATGGAATAGTTCTCCATTCAGGAACTGTAACAAAGCCCTCTGTATTCCATAATTTAAGTACCAGAATCAGAAAGAGTCGTGCTTGGGTCACATTCATAACTTACTCAGTATGTTTGTCATGTGTCATTTAACCCTCTGAATCTCAGGCTCCTCATCCGCAGGAGGAGGAGGCTGTATTTAAAAGTCTTGGTGCTTGGTGAATACGCAGTAGAGGTAATATTATATTACTGTGAACTATTTTAAAGTTCTGGCTTTTACACAAGAATTTTGTGAGACCTGAAGTTCTTTTTAATTAACCCAATCTTGGTACTTCAGAGATGGGAGAAAGGTGGAAAGAGACACAAGTTCTATAGAGAACATAAAACCCCCAAGAGGCACAGCCTAGATGTGGTCTCTGACTCTAGCCCAGGCATGGTTTTCTCCACTACATTAACTTTCCCCACACAGAGGTATTTGGTTCTTGACTTTTTAAGCTGTTTTGACCAGAAAGAACTATACACATAGTTCAAAATGGTGGTGTCATTTAAAGACGGCAAATATCATAAAACAAGATGCAGACAACAAAAAAAAGGGTAGGTTACTTCATATTTTCAGAATACTTGCCATTGAGCAGTCTGAAAGAATTAAATACATTAACAGTAATGTACTAATGTCTACTCATGCAAGAGGTGCTAAGATGAGGTGGAGGAGCAGAAGTACTTTGTCATATATTCTTTTCCCCATTCCCCTACACTCCAAAAACAAAAGGTATAAACTAAATCCCCCACGTCAGCCACATTTCTTGGTTTCTCAGGAAGAAAAACAGAGCTTTCCCCAGGCTTTAGACTCTGCTAATCTAAAGAATACAACAAACCAGATGGATGATGTTGAGTATAGTGATAGTAGCCCGCTCTAGCACCAGCCAGGGAAGACACAAAATCACTAGTTAAAATAAGGGACACACAGGAACCACCAGTAAAACAAAGCAGATGCACTTTGTTATTTTAAATCAGCAGTTTTATTACAATACTCACTGACACACATTTAGAGAAGGAATGTCCTGACATTTTCGGAGCATTTCACGGAAAGCAAATGTAACCATCCAGGCAGTCGAGTCATCCACATCATTCCCAAACACAAAGCAAAAGCTTTTATGTGTGATAACTCAGGAAATCAAAGTTTTCTTACTCTCGTCTATAAAAATTCAGCATCAGAAAATAGTTATAATACAGTGGGCTGAGAAAGTGTTTGCTTGATAATGCCTCAAAACCTGCCTCTTGATGATCCCCCTGACTTTCTAGTATCTTTTCATAATCTTGTAGCTGGCAGAGCTCAGGGGCTAAATGGGATCCAGGAGAGAATATTATATGACACTGTAATAGAGAAAAGATAAATTAAAAAAATTAAGTCCCACTAAAATGCACAAAGGCACAGAAAAAATATCTGGGACTAACAAAAATTACTTGAGATGCTCTTTTCACATAACTCATTTAAAGGTTACAATTACCATAAACATTTTAAGTCCATTAAAGATCACTGGCAAAAACTTGCTACACAAGGGCCCTGGCTTTACAAAGGCTTGAAGAAAGCAACACACCATGTGAAAACGAGTCACTCATCCTGGTGAAGTAGGTATCAGACAATTTGGAGTTGCATAGGCATTTTTTAAGACCCACTTTGTGTCAAATACCCTTTGAGAAATTTCCACCTTTCAACACTCATTGTATCACTCAGGTGTTTGAACCCAGTTAGTGCCCAAATGAACAAAGTACTCTAGAAAACAAACACTAAAACGGCATTTTGGATAAATTCACAATACATTGTATAACCTGGGGACAATGAAGAAAAAAGTCCAAGCATGACACTAGCATTTCATTTAGAAAAGCTCGGCAGGAGAAAACTTTGTTTAAAAACATTAGAACTCAGGGAATTATACATTTTTGGTTAATCTGTGCTATATCCTGTCAGGTATTCCCTAGGTCACTCGTTTGGATTTCATGTCTGCATTAGTAGAAGAATATACACTGTTGCATATACTCAAATATATATGCATATACATATACAAAATTCAGATCATGAAAATTTGTTTTAAATACATATACTTAAAACCTGTACCTCTAAAAATAAATACATTAGCCTCTAATTGGCTAATTCTCAAAGTTCCTTCACAAACCAATCAGAATAGTTTCTCAACAATGGCTGATGACCAATTAGCTACTCTCTAAAACCATTACCGCTCAGTAAACATGTCAAGATGCAGATGTACAACATAAACAGCATTCCCAGAATAGAAAATAGATAGAATTCTGGCTTTGAAAAGAAATGTCTTGGTTGCCTTGATGTGTACTTCCTACAGATGTCTCCTCTTGGCCTCTGCAGTTATCCAGCAGTGGGAGAGCACTTTCTCACGACAGCATTCTATTCCACTGATGTTACCTTCTAATCAAAGAAGTCAGCTGGCATTTCCTTTGCTTTTTTGTTCCAGGGAACTAACACAACATTGTTTGTATTTGACATCCCATAATCACAGTGAGTTGTATGTTTTAATGTAATGTACAATGTGCTGATACCACTGAGGTGAAGCAGAAGTGGCTTGGGTGTTTATCAAAAAGAAGTCTTCTAGGAAACACATAAAGGACCTGATGGTATCCATCTGAGTACTATGAAGTAACTCAAAATCACTGCCAGAATGAACACCTTGAATATCTGATGCTGCAGTTCAAACAATAGAAACAGATGAAAGTACTCAGTATACTTTCTTTAGAAAAGATGCAATTCACAAAAATGGAGTTTTACTTTTACAAAAACACACCTTAAAATGACAGAAGCCAGACCAAGTTGTTTAATATAGTACAATACCTAACAACCTTGTCATTTGTTTTTGAACACAGGAATCTCAGAAATATAGGAAATCCATGATAAACGATAGCAAGAATGTTTAATGCCATTGCCTACATGTTTTAAAAGGAAAATTTACCATAGTTGGCATACAATTTCTAAAAAATACAGTTCTATGCTGTCACAGTTCCAGATTGCAGATAACTTTGTAAGTTAATGATGAAAGTTACCCATATATAAACAAGGCCTCTTTTTCATTGATTTCAATCATTTAAACCTTTGGGTATTTCAATCTTCAGATTCCACAAGGTAAGGCTGAGTTATCAGATATAAATAAAATGTTCAAGTCCATGATGTACTGTAGCACTGAGGAAACAAATACATCAAATATTTACAGGCTGGCTACAATATTTTCTTTGCCTAAAAAAAAAAAAAAATTCAAATGTATCTCAACATCAAGCCACACTCTTTTTTTTTAATTTCTCGGGCTGCAAAAATGGAGTGACAGCATTTTCCTCACTCATCTTTCCCCTCCTCCTGAAGTCAAGTCTGCTCTTAGGTCATAGGGCGCGGTCTTTTGGGAGGTGGTGGCGGCATGAGCTCTGTGTCAGGGTCCAGATGATGCTTTCGCTTCTGTCCTTGAGAAGATGCAGCACATCTGTCGATGAACTCAAACAGCATCTCCTTGGTGACAGGATTTGAAATGCTGTTGCACACAGCTGTGGACAAAAGTAGACACATGTCTCATGTGAGGGTTAATTAAGGCCACTGACTCACCCCAGGGAGATGAAAGAGGGGAAAGGTTTCCAACCAATATGCTAAACACTTTCATTTTACCGATCCTCATGACGCGTGCTTCACATTAAACTGTTCTCGCTCCCTGTCCCCACATGAGTGCCCTTCTAGTGGCTACCCTTTACTACACTATTGCTTTTACACCAAAACTTGAAGTACTTAGGTTATCAGTATGTTTTCACTATGGTTTTCTAACCTTCCAACACTTCTAACATGATTTTAATCTAGCATAGTTCATCACGCTATAGTCCATTTCCAAGCAAAAATCTTGGCAGAAAACCTGTGGTCTAGACCTCCAGTCTTTCTCTCGGAAAGGAGTCTACAATGGGAAATGTAGCTGGCAGATTTTTTTCATTGTAGCTGGCAGATTTTTTTAAAGTAGTTATTATCACAAAATTACTGATTAAATAAGCATTTTTTCTTTTTTTTTATAAGCAGTGTTTCCTAAAGGAGCAAAGTTTAGTATCTTTTTTTTTCCAATTTATTTACCTTTTCAGTTTTATGAAGGACACAGGCTCATTCCTAGTGTAGAAATGAACTCATCTAGAAACTTTAAATGCACAACAGTGACTTCTGAACTGCAAAAACCAAACTAGCAATTTCTACATATTTATTATAGTTTATTATACAGTCATCATCTTCACCAACTGAGCACTTTCAGAAAGTATACAATTCTATTAATTTTTTTAAAGATTTATTTATTTGTGCACACAGAACTGGGGTACAGGTCAGAGGTGCAGGGGTGGTCAGAGGATTCACCAGAGACAGAGTGGGGAGCAGAACAGACCGACTGACGAAGAACACTGCTGAGGGGAGCAGCGGGCAAGTCAGGAGAGGTCTGCTGCGCCATGTGGGTCACCTCCGGGGCGGGAACTGAACTCATGCTGAAGTGACTTTAGCTTTTTAGTGCAGTGTTTTAACCCGCTGTGCCACCAGGGAGGCCAAGTCCATTAATTTTTAACCTTGGTTTTTAATTTGTGTTTTCTAATTCCACTAAAAATGCAATCCAGAGTAACAACTGCTACTAATAGTAGTTTCCCTTATAAAGTTTATTAATTTGTGTTGTTCCCCTGAAAGAAACTTAGGATTCTGAATTCCCAAAGCATTTCTATTGTACCCAAAGAACTCTCAAAAGGAGAGCATAGCAAGTTTTAGGGCTTTTAAAAAATGGCTTTCATTTACTTTGTTCTCTATTATTTGTAAAGTTATTTTAGGAACTGGAAATTATATTTTCCCCTGCTAATTTTGTCTTTTACCATCTGGCACACAATGGTTTTTATAATTTTGAATAGATCTGAAATTATCCTGGCTTTTGTTGTTGTTGTTGTTCAACAAATTCAACTGGTATCCAGCTCATTATCTTGCTCTTTAAACTTTTCTTGGGGCACACGGCAGAGGCCCCCGGGTCTAGAGAATCTACAGGTTGAATGAAGCTAAGCCAGGTACAAAAGCGGACATAACCCATTCCAAAGAAGCAAGAATGGGGTTCTGAAGGACTCTGTGCCCCGTCAAGCAGCACAATAAAGACTGCACAAATGGTCATAACACCTTCACTTTTTTTCCCTTTTCTTCCTTTTAGTGTAAACGCAGCGGGAGGCTGTCATACTCACCCAAGGCAGTGTTGTAGGCATTAGGAAAACTTTTGTCTGTTCTCTGTCTCATGAAGACCCAGCTGTTGTTCTCAAATTTGCATTCTATAATTTTGTTGTCATACTGTTTTAGCTCTTTTGTCACCTGTTTTAAAAGAGAATTGAGGAAAATATTTAAATCATTCTAAAGGCTTTTGCTTCCACTATGTGACAGACGCATTAGGGAAAGCCAAAAACACCTCAGTAACTCTTCCTGCAGAGCTCTTTGTCATCTGAAGTGTCTAATCAAGCCTAAGGATACAGTGTGCACTCCCTTGCACACATGCTCATTAATCCAACATTTTATAAATAGTCGTGGAAACGGCTGTCAATATATAGCAATTAAAAGAATCTAAGCAGAAACCAGCCACTTCTGGGCCAAATGCAAATATGTTACCATAGGGACCAATGCCTCAATATTGTCTGCGTCCCTCTGGCTTTTAGAAACTGAGTATGCTACTTGGATTTCACTAACTTTCAGAAAGACCTTGCCATCACCATATCAAAACCTAAGAAATTTCCTCTACTAGTTAAAAGAGAAAGTTACACATAAAAAACAAACATTCAGATCAGGTTCTAGTAATGTACATCATAAATATTTTTCTTTTCAAGCAATGATCATTAATCAAAAATGTAATCTTTGGGAATTTCTTCCCCTTCCCAACTCCCAACTAGCATGAGTTTAGAAATGAAGCTACTTTTGATTTTAGTAGCTTTTCCTGGCTACTTCACCCCAGATGACTGAATATGGATTACAACTTATTCTATCAAAGCTAACAAGTATCCATGGTAACTAAAAGACCTTTTAAAAGATATTTCATCAGGTTATGAGCATGGTTTTCATAAATAGGAACCTAAGCTTATCTTTGCAGTTTTTAAATCAAATGTCAGTCATGGTAATATTTTAATTCTGCCCTCATCTTTCACGGCTAACAACTTTTCCTCACAATATGGTAGATTGCAATCATTTAACTTCATTAGCATTATTTGAAATGCTCTCATTTTGCTACCTACATATTCACTACCACTTAGGAATATGAAGGGAAACAATTTTTAAAAAGATGCTTTCAGTTCACAGATTAAGCAGTACATGTCTTCCTAAAACTTTCAAAGTTGTATTTCTTTTCCCTTAATGAGTATTATATTTGACTGAACTATGTGCAGTTTCAATAAATCTAATAGGTCCGATACATTCAGTAGTTCTGGAACCAGACCTTCCTCTAAAAAGTGGTGGTACTCCTAGCAAACTTTCTAAAGTTTATTCTCAAATACTCATTCTAGTTTCAACTCCCTTCCTTCCTTCAAAGGGATCCACCTTCTTTTACTTTTGATTCATTATCTATATTAAGTACTAGGTAACACATTCAGTTAGGTAACTACATATGTCAGGTGTAACAAAGATAAGATTCTAAACTTTTCAGAGTCTTCATTCCCTAATAGCTAAAATAGGTAAAAATAGGTAAAGGAGCTTATAAGTTACTAGGAAACTATATATATATATATATACACACACTATGAATATTATAATATATACACACACTATGAATATTATAATATATATACTATGAATATTATATATAATATATATAATATGAATATCTATATATGAATGCCCAGCACATAGCAGTCAACTGAGTAAAAAAGATCAAGTAATAAAACACTGCTTTAAAAAAAATAATCTCTGGGCCCTCCCTGGTGGCACAGCGGGCTAAAGCACTGCACTAAAAAGCTTAAGCCAATTCTGCATGAGTTTGATCCCTGCCTGCCCCGGATGAGATCCACATGGTGTGGCAGACCTCTCCTGACCCGCCCGCTGCTCCCCTCAGCAGTGTACTTTGTCCATCTGCCTGTTCTGCTCCCCACTCTGTTCCTGGTGAATCCTCTCACCCTCCGCATCTCTGGCCTGTACCCCAGTTCTGTATGAATAAATAAACCTTAAAAAAATAAAATAAATAAAAATAAAAAAAAAATCTCTACAAGAAAATTTGCAAAGAAACCAGAATGACATGGAAAGTTACAATCTGAAAACAGCTATCAAGAAAGTTGTATCAAATGCATTAGACAAAAAATGGTTTGCTATCAACAATGAAGTCTACACTCATTACTGACTAGCAAATGTAATAAGTCTTTATCATATATAGCTTATTGTTCCTGTGTTCCTAGTTTTCAGAACTGCTATCAACCATGTGTTCCTCAACCTGGTCAGAGCAATTAAGCAGTATTTATTAAGTGTTTGTGTTAGATTTACTTGGGCATGCATTAGCAATCCAATAAGCCAGGAAAGAGCATCCGAGAAAATGCACGGACCTATCACTATGCTAATCTAAATGGATTTCTGTGTTCAAAACAGTACATCATTTTTCACTGATATCACCAGTTATATTCCCAAGACAGATACACTATTAGTATTCATTTGGTTAGGTAGTAAAATATATTGCGCCGATGAAAAAATACCTCTCGACTGTATAAACCAAAGGCAGTTTTCATTAATGATCAGATCAAGAGAATGATTGGCATGTAGGGAGGAGTTTAATTTTAGTGTCCAAATTCTAATTTGTTACTATGACAATAATCATCCTCAGTCAATTACATATTATTATTTAGTAAAACAGGACTGCTTTGGGCCTACTATAATCAACTCTGTTATCCTAGCTTGAGTTAATGAGTTTGAAAGTAGTAAGGATAAAATATTTATAAGTCAGGATTTCATATCTGTACCCATAATTACAATGAAGTAATGAAATGTTACTGCTTTTGAAAAAAGAGCAATATATAGTGTATTTCATATGAAAGACATTTTTTTCCCCAATATCCATCTTATTGAGTACCACGCTTTTTTTTTTTTAACTGTATCTGATCTGCCAATAATCTGGAGTTAAGAGATACTTAGATGAAACTAAATCTAGTATCTGAAGGTTTTAAATTAGCAATTCAAAGATACTACCTAGAATAAAGGAATCAGAATTGCTCTGTCCTGCCCCTGTTCCTACAAAAAACACTTTGTAACCTAAGAGCTAGGAATGTTACCAAGTCCCCAAAGACAAATGATCTGCGCTGGCTGAACTGACCTGCTATACAGGGCAGGCCTAAAGATGCGTTCCTATTTCTAGTGTTGGACAGAGCCTGGAGAATTTACTGTCCTTGCTTGGAGAGAGCTGTTTTGTTATCAAGGGCTCATCTTTGTTTCACAGAATGACAGCACAAAGGTTTGGCAAGGGTGGGTGGGTAGCATTCTCGGAACGAATTTGCTCTGGAGACATTTTAAATTAACAAATATCTTGAGACCAAAAAGCAAGCGGTGAGTTTACTAACTTTTAATTCTGAAATAATTCTAGGTTTTCAGAAAATTTTTTGCGACAACAGTCCTGCCATAAGCTTCCTCTAATGGTGGTATTTTATATGTCATAGTATATTTATCAGCTCCAAGAAATGAATATCTGTTTCCAATTCAGGAAAATACATTGCATTTAGTCATCGTGTCTCCTCAATCTCTGCTGAGCTGTGACAATCTTACACTTTCCTTGACACTTCTGAAGAATACTAGTCAGGTTATTTTAGAGAATGTTTCTCAAATTGGGAAATTCTGATTATGGATTTGGGGGAAGAATATCCCAAAGAGGTAGAACAACCTCACATCTGAGGATAGATGATATAAAAACGATTTCCTACTGGTGATGTGAACTCTAGTCACATGGTTAGAATGGTAGTTGCCAGGTTTCTCTACTGTAAAGTTACCATTTTTTTCCCTTTCCATATTGTACTGGTTAGTTGTGAGTCACACGCCCATTGGAGTATAAGGAAATTACACTCCACTGTCTGGAATCAAAGACATTTGAACATTTATTAAAACCACCACGAAATTAATGCCTTTCTTCGGAAGGCCATTCTCAAAGTATACAAATACCCTGCTTGGCCTTAAGATTCCACTCATGCATGTTAGCATGTCTCAGGAATCTTGCCTGCAGCAATTACTACTGTGGTATCCTAATGGGATTTTTTATTTTCTCCATTTCTTCTGTAAGCAAGATTTGTTCCCTCTCCTTTATTATTTATATTTACTTGGACTCGTGGATACTTATTTTCTTCTTTGGCTTATAATGAGGACTGAAGCCATTTTACTATTTTGTATTCATTCTTACTGTTTTGACCAGGTATGGAGAACTCTCTCAGGTTGGTGCTGTATTCTTCTGACTGGCTCCCACTTTTTACTTATTTATTTTCAGCACCTATCAGCACCTATTTTCTGGCAATATCAGTCACTTCTAGAACTGTATGCCTTATCTTTATATGGATAAATATTAAAACATAATTGAATACTTAGTATCTATTAAACACTATAAATTAATGAGCTACCCAAATAATATCATTCATTTTCACCACAATCTTATGAGGGAGAAATAATATATTAATGCCCTTTCACAGGAACAGAAACTAAAGCTTAGAGTAGCTAAGTCTCTTTCATCTTACATTAAAATTAACTCAAAATGGAAAAACTACCAAACTTAAAACTATCAAATTTCTAAAAGAAGATGTAAGAAGAAAATCTTTGTGACCTATGGTTAAGGCAAAATTTCTTAGAAAGAAAAGCAAGAGAATGATCTAAAAAATAAGTTGATAAAAATATCAACATTTAAAATATATACTCTGCTGAAAATATTGCTAAGAGAATGAAAAAACACAGGATAAAATATCTGCAAATCACCTGACGACAAGCCTATATACAAAATACATAAAGAGCTCTTAAAATTCAATAATTAAAAAAAACAACAAACTGAAAATCGGACAAACTACTTGAACAGATGCTTCACCAAAGAAGATATATGGATGAAAAATAAGCACATAAAAATATACTTAACACATAATTAGTGATTAGGAAAACACAAAATGACAATGAGATATTAGTATATACCTATGAGAATTAGCTAACTAAATGCTGACAGCATTAAGTGTTGAGTTCCAGTGCCAATGATCTGAACTGTCATACACTGTTAGTGGGAATGCAAAATGGTATAACCACCTTGGAAAATAGTTAGGCAGTTTCTTTATAGATGAATACAAATGTTTAACAGTAGCTTTATTCATAATTTCCCCAAATTGGAAATGACT